AAAACCAGCTGAACTATTTAAAATCTCATGTTATCTTCTGTTATTGAAGTGAACTGATAACTCTGACTACCATTTCTGTAAATATTTTAAACTAATAAATTTGATTCTTCCAACTCTTAATTAATAGTCTAGAATAGGAAAAGAAACTTCTGGTTTTACATTGTTATTTGCTTTTTTTATGTTCGTTGAATAAACTATCATGAGAATACTATATATATGCAAAAAAGTAAGTTTCAGCTGCCTAACACTAGTGACCTGTAAAGTTCATGAGTTTGACTTTCTTTAAAACTTGGCAGTGTAAGTATACTATCTAAAAATAACAGGAATGTTTTCAGAGCCAAAGAAAGCTTAGAAGTAAACTTTTAAATTTTTTCAATTTTGAAAAGTCAGGGTTATTTTTTGTTATCCATATGTTTGTCTGCATTAGAGGAAAGGAAACTGACAGATTAAAAATAATAAAATAATAAAATGGCCAATGGATGACCAGGGACAGAACACTTAAAAGACATGATGATTTGGTCTTCCTGACACATCATTTAGGTAAAATAAAACATGGAATCTGGGTTACTGACTTCAGAGACACAGAAATATGCATCCATTATAGTAAAATAAGAATTTCAACTGGCATAGTGCTCTTTTTTCTAATTTTTAAGGTTTGCAAAATATCAAGCCTCAAATTTTAATCTCATTTGGGACTTATGCCAGTAAAATCTGGAATAGGAAAACTAATTTTAGGAAAGAATCTTTCATTTCAGAAAAGAGCTTTTTTAAAGAGAAATGTCTTTTTTTCATAAAAGAAGAAAGACAGCAGACAGTGCAACTACGGTAGTTTAACTTCAGTCATGCTTTAATTTCTCAGACAAGAATTTCTTTATTAAGAAATAGTTATTAATTATAGAATGTGTTTGTTTAGCTTTCCTCTGTAAGTACAGAATGCTAAAATTGCATGTCAAAATGAAGCATCTGCATTCTACAGAGTCTGGCAGAAATCAGTTATTCTTGAAGTTAATATGACTGAAGTGTTCTGCTGAAGAAGGAGTATTAAATTAGAAGTTTAGGTGATATGCTAATTTGGAACAAAAAGGATATGTTGATGTCCGCATCATAAAGTTTTATTGAAGTTATACATGCAAGACAGCACATAATATAGCCCTTAAGTCTACTGAGGACCTATATATTATAACTATATAATAACTACTTTAGTAATGTAGACACTGTCAATCTCCTTGTTTTGAATCTCTTCCCGCAGTTTCTACAGAGTAGACCTTAAAATAAATTGGTCACAGCAAAAACATTTATCTTGTACATCAGGAGATGCGCAACGTGAAATCATTTGCTCATATCTTAAGTAACAATCTAATAATCAGATGTGAAGATGCAGATGCTGAACAACTTGTTGACTAAGGGAAAAAAACCTGCTTTCGTGCCAGTAAGCAGATGTACTCGGTAGACTGTCTCATAAGTGCTGATTTAGAAACAGCTGTTAATGCTACCATCATCTTTAATATAGTTCATTTCCCTCCACTTCCTTTGTTTTCTTTACATACATATGCTTGCTCCATACAGTTAAGTTGTGCTAGTCAAAGGGTGGAGAAGAGGGAGTGCATTTTAATACATAATAGACAATCAGGACCTGAGTCTGGGAGGTGGTGAGCACTCTCAGCTCCTGCTGGAGCTAACTTAGACTTGAAAAACAGCATTAAAATGTTCATAAAACCTAATGTCATAGTAGAACTTTAAGCTACTTTAAAAGGATATAATTTTTGCCAAAGTTGTAAATGGCACAAGCTAGTTCTTTCACTGGAAAAAGAAAAGTTCAGGAGTTTTTCAAGTTCACTTCAGTAAGCGCTTTTTCTTTCTCCTTTATTTTTATTTCCATTTTTTCTTTACTTTTATTTCAGTCATTGTCTCCTTTCTCTAACTCTTGCTCTTTCTCTCTTTCATTTTCTCCTTTTTGTTTCTCAGAGTGTTTTGTTCTGCATGTTTTGTGCAACACCTGTAAGTCCCAAATGAGTTGTGTGTTTGAAAAGCACAGCTTGCCATAGACCCAGATAAACTGACACTCTGAAGCACTTCACACAAGGTTTGCTTCACTTCCTTCCCATTACTAAAATATACATGGATCACATATCAGTAACAACTATACCCCCCATAATTGACTCTTCAGCTCCAAAGGAAGTTCAGAATTCCAATATCTGAATTTGATCTCTAGAGGAAATAACAAGTGAAGGACCTGTCTCACATTATTAGCACATGAGCATTAAAGTCTTCATCTAGAGTGCACTGAACACTGTGGAAAAACTCACATTGACATTAGTGTACTTTGAATCAGGTCAAAAGTGGATTCAGCACTTTATAATGGAGGACATAAAGAAATACATATAAAAAATACCTCATGTATTCCCAGCAACAAAATACTGTAAGAAAAAACTGGAAAACAAAAAAGAATAATGTATTAAATTGGAGTAAGAAATGTCAAGCGAGCAGATGTAAGAGTTTAGCTCTTTCTGTGACAGAACAGAAATGAGCACCTGCACCAGAAGCCAGGCAGCAACCATCCTGCTCACGTCTGTCCCCGTCAGAACAGTTTCTGACAATGTCTATACAAGTACTGCCTTCAGCTTCTCAAGTTTCCAAAAATGAAATGGATGTATCTGGAAGGTGGTTTGCCTGGATCTCTCCTGTTCCACTAAGTTAGTTTGAATCCAATCTCCATATTGACATTTTTGTTTTAAATGCATCATTGCTATTTTTCTTGAAACCATTTTTTGTATGCATTATTATTTTGGTTTAGGCTTTCAGTGCTGTGACTTATTCTGTGAATGTCCAAGGACATAAAAATATCCAGAAAATGGCTTAGATCTTTTAATCATCACTCTGATCCGGTCATTTCTTCTTACTGAATAAAATTATCTTGGCCCTTATTTCAGAAGAAGAGTGGTAATCTGTGGTACTGAGTTGAATCCAAAATACATTATTTTTGATGTTTAGATTATGATGGCAGTTGCATCTACTGCACTGTCTGGCAGCAGTAGAGTAGTGGTTTTTTGCAAGAGAAACTTCATTGTCTTAAAAACCAAAAATAAGAAAATGACATCTTAACTTCCTACAGAAAGTTACTAAAGCTGTACCCTTTTGAAGTCACTGGTTCCATGGACACCTCTGATAAGTGAACTGAGGATGTTCATTTCCAAGATCATAGCAGCCTATAATGAATACCTTCCCCTTCACACTCATTTTACTTTATAAGCCAGATTCCTTGGCTCTCATGAGCTAGCTAAAAGAAAGGATGTGCTGTGCTTTGTGGCTCTAACTAACCTGGAATAATTTTGCTCTGTTCCCAAGTGACTGGTTTTAACAGCACACATTTGCTTAAACAGGAATATAGAGTATAAAAAAATAAATATACCTCTCTTCCTTCCCACTTACGTACATATAGATAGTGACGTTAACTATCAGTTCAGTTGGAGTAAAATTTTAATGTAAAATTCAAAGTAATAGTAAAGGTTAAACACTGCAGTGTTTCCTGGATATATAAGACAGATTCAGCAAAACAGCATTTTTGTGGCTCTGTTACTCATGTTGTACAATATGTCCTGCTGTGTCTGTTCCTCGCTGTTTCTTTTAAAACTCTGAAACACATTCTGCTAAAGGCAGCAAAGGATACACCGACATTGCAAGCTTTCTTGCCGCCTTTCCAAGTGAAAAGTTGCAGATACAGTTTATTTCTCTGTGGAACCTTCATATGTGTGTGCACACACACACACACACACACACACACACACGAGATTTTTTTTTTAGCAACATTACCTCTAAATGGATCAAACCCAACAATTTTCTATTCATACTGTTTTCAGTGACAATATTTTAAGTTGGTTTGAAATCAGCCTTTAATCTGTTATAATCTATTTGACAGATGCTATGCACATCTTTTTTTTTTTCCTTTTCTTTTGGCTATTGAAAAAAAAGGTCCTTGTGGTTTGCAGTGCTGGTACTTTGGAACTGTGCGAATAATTTAGGTTTGCTTCCCCCCACATATATTTCTATACAGAGACAGGGAGGAGGGGAAATGAGTTTCAGCTGGAGTAAAGTCTTGGGGTTTAATGTGACTTCAATACAGATACATTTTATATCTTCCATTCTATTAATTTCTTTTCCATTCTCATCTGAAATAATTTGCTGATTTACACTCAAATTTATAAATTCCATGTCCTCTGGCTTTGGGGTTATTTATTTGTCTGAAAAATTTGACCAGGGTCTTGGGCTAAATTTAGTAGAACTGAGGATCAGTCAACTAGGATCAATTAAATACATTTGTGAAATAGATAGCGAAGTCATGATTTTTGACAGTAAGAAATTATCTTTCAGTTACTTCAGCAAGCAAAAAAAAAAGCTTTGAAAGTGTTCCATCTGAAACTCACCACCAGTTTACAGAAACAGGCAGAAAGCAATGCAAACTTCTCAGCACAAGTTGCTTTCCAGGGTAGCTACTCTTTGAAAGGTAACTAAAAGCAGTATAAACACAAGGGGCAGCAGTATGGGTCCCTGCCACCAGACAGGGGCTCTCTATCATGTAAAAGGTATGTTCTTCTGCACGTCCCTTGGTGGGAACCATTTTACCTCTGCTTCTCTCCCTATGAAATAGCATTAATACATTTTTTCAACACGATGCAAAATTTTTAATGTTTTCTAAAGGTCTCTGAGGTATTCCTGTGGAGCTAACTGCTGCAGAGAGCCCTGTTGCCTTCTTGCGGTAACGCTGTTCCCTCCTTCGCAGTTGTTATCCTCACATCCCCAGGGTTCATGTCCTATCCAAAACTGAATCCCCTGCTCCTCAGGGAAGGTTTGCTAAGCTTTTTACCATGCAGACAGAAAGGCACTGTGTTGCACATTAAAAAAAAAGAAAGAAAAAACTCGAGTGCTGTGGTATAGGTAGAAAGATCATTATTACCTTCAATGACCTCATCTTTATTTTCTTGTTTTTTCTTTCTTCCATGAAGGTAAAAGTTTGGTTCCAGAACAGGCGAATGAAGTGGAAGAGGGTAAAAGGGGGGCAGCAAGGGGCAGCGGCCCGGGAGAAGGAACTGGTGAATGTGAAAAAGGGCACGCTGCTCCCCTCCGAGCTCTCTGGCATCGGCGCAGCTGGTCTCCAGCACACGGGGGACTCACTAGCGAATGATGACAGCCACGACAGCGATCACAGCTCTGAGCACGCACACTTATGATACACAGAGAGTGTCCCAGCTCCGTTCTCAGGAAAGATGCTTTGCCAGCAAGCCTTACACAGGCATTGTTTACGTATGCAAGTGACTCTGGCAGTGATTTTTACAGTTGTTACGGAAAATTAAGGCTTATTGTGTCTGCTTTTCTTGATTTTTAGATGGTTTACAGTAAGTGCCATGTCTTAAAGGTGCCTCAAGATTGGAGAAGTGGAAGACGAACTTACTTTGAACATTCCAGATTTGTTTGTCCTGTTTATGACAGCGGGCAGGTATTTTTGCTTTAGCTTGCACTGAAAATTACATTGCTCTCAACAGACGTTATATTCTGAAAACCACAGTGCCACAAAATCACTATCTAGTGGATAAGAAATGTATTTTAACTCTGTATATATTTACCTTACAGCATTTTCCTGTCTTCACTAATTTTAGCAATGCATTCATATTAGCTGATGGCAATAGTCACTCATGACAGTAAATGGCTTTTTGTCTCTTTAGTTTTGTTTTGTTTTTCCAAAGACATACAATACATGCAGATACTTTTGCTCAAGTAGAGAACAATGCAATAGTGTCTGCTAGGACACGTCCTTGTATGACAGACAAAACAAATCTTATGTTGCATTTACTATCAACTGCTGCTAATAGGGTATTATTAAACTTACCTAGCTCCTCAATTCTTCTTATCTTGTAACTGCAAAAAATGATTTTTAGGATCATAAGGATAGTCCAGTAACCTGCCAAAAAATGTCATGTTCCACTTATGCTCGGTGGAAACTTCCCAAAGAGTTATTCATTTCTACTTTGTCATAATTGAGTACATTGATAAATACTGACACTCTGCAGAAATGTTGTTGCTTCATCTTCAGTTGAAAAAAATAAACCAGCAGATAAGCTGAAAGTTATTATCAACTGCTTATGTTGGTAGAAATCAAAATATGAAGGTAACTCATTATTGTGTCCCATGTGTAAAATCAAGACATATTTTCTGTTACAAGCTTTTGTGTACATACAAGCAAATACCAAAACCCAGAACTTAATGCAAACCATTGATTGTACTTTGTAAAGAAATATGTTTAATAAATAATCCTTTTTAAATAATTCTGGTCTCTCTACAGTGATTTCATAGGAAGCTTAAAGTGTTTTTTGTAAAAATCCTAAGCAGCTCTGCCTTATTCAGGTCTTTTGGACCTTAGTCGGTCTGTAGACAACACAGTTAAGTTTTCGAATTTAGGCTTTTAATCTTGGATAAACCTTCTGCCTTGATCCATTTGGGGAACTCTTTCCTTTAGCAGGAAAAAGGCATCTAGCAGCTAATGATGTCTTCAGCCAAAAACAACATGAGGCTGTTCAACCATTTTTCCAGATTTAGAGCAAATATAAAGGGTTATTTTGTTGGACCTTGTTGAAATGGATGAAAGGGAATAAGTATCAGGAAGCAATGCATACTTATATTATCATGCATTTGTTCAATAAAGCTGTTCAGGAGTGAAAAATAAAATACCTCAAAAAAAGTCAGAGATTAATTAGACTGGGTAGTGTGATAGAAGGAGCAGAATGAAAGGAAGAGCAAGCAAGAAACGTGCATATCCTTGTAATTGCTTGTGAGCATTCCCTGAAGCTCTGCTACGTGGAGCAGTAGGAAATGATAAAATTAAATGTGATCAAGAACGCTGTGTCTGTTTTCCAAATCCTTTCTACTGTCGGTTTGATCTTTCTTGCACATTAGTTATTGTCATGATCACTTTAGTTTAAAATATCCAAGCAATGGGTAATTAATTTCTGTAAAGACTTCAGAGCATTTTATTGATCCCAGCAGTTAAGGGGTTTTGCATTTGTTTCTTAGTTCTTTGTCAAATGCCTTTGTCATTCAAAATTGCTAAGCATGGAAGTAGGATAGAGAAGTAAGCCACCTACTTGTGTATACTTGATCTTTTTTATTTAATGGCTGGATGGGAAAGTTTTTTGAGGTGGTATTGATTATCAAAACAGAAAAAAACCCACCAGTAATTCAGACTAAAGCTTTTTACTCTTGGCTGGTTTTTCTCCCTCTTAAATTAAAACTAGCTAAATTTCAAAATGAAAAATTAGAATGAAAAGTTGAAAAAAAGCATCTTGAATTTTCAAATAACACCTTTTACCAACAGAGAGTCGAATATGATGTGACTTGTTTTGTTAGGAAGGAGGGGGCAGAAGATTTTTCTCTTTCAGATATTCTATTTGCCAAAAATGTCTTTCAGGTTTAGAGAATTGTTTGTTGCTGTCTTTAACACAAAGTTTAAGACTGAATCTGAAAAGGGATCAGCCAAGTTTGGGCTGACATTTTACAGAACAAATGGAAGTACTTTATTTACATTACCTGAAATGCACCAGCAATGTGCTCCTAGCCCAAGGCATTTTGAGGGGTGTATTATTCTGTTAACAGCACTGTGATTTGACTGGGATACTTGCAGGGGGGGAGCAGACAATATGTGTGATAATGGCAATCTGTAAACCATAATAAGCTCTTTACCAGGAAGAATTTTTTCCTATTGAGAAAGATAGTCTTTCTCCATTTTCCTAGTTTTAACTGAATTTGTTGAGACTTAAAGCACAGGTTGAAGAGAGAAATATATGTAAATGGATTTACAGTGAATTTTTGTTTACATAATTGAATGAACCTTCAAACAAAGGACCAAATTATGTAACTTTATATCACAGACAAAAAATAGAACTGATTTTCTGCCATGCTTTAACGGCAGCTCAGACTTTTACTTTGGCTGTAAGGTGCTAACTGTATGTAGTAACCTCTCAGATTACTTAAAGACCTCTGGTGGCTTTAAACAGCTGCTTTGTGGGTACACCAGTGGTGAGTGCAGTATGGTGCAGAGATCCCACTACCAGAATTGAAGCTATGAAGTCTAAGCACAGTGAGCTTCCTTTCATGATCTTGATGGAATTTACAAGTGCAGCCCCACAGAAATACAGACATGCTTCTTCCAGATTGCAGCTAGCTCACATTCAATCCACACACAGCAGCAACGAATGCCCTGTGCTTTAACTCCAGTTTGTGGGTTATTGGGTCTGCTCAGGACTTAATGCAGATGGTGTCTTATCTTGCTCTGAATACCTCAGTTTCTCAAAAACTGTATTATTGAAGCCCCTGGGATCAATCATCTGCTGTAACATATTATGACTTTGTATCAAAATTTTGTAACATAATTTTGTTGCTGAAAACAGCTATTGATAAAGGCTTTTGAACTATAACTTCAAGATTTGTTTTATCTGCATTGCCTTGTATCTGTCTGCAGACTGACAGAGGGTTCTTCCACCAATCTAGCCATATGGTACAACTATAAGTCTACCATTTGACAGATAGAAAACATCAAACTCTAAGATTGTGACTTGCCCAATATTGTGCTGGCACTTGGTGCTAGAGTGAAATGTGATGAAATCTACTTGGGTTTATTTATCTTAGTTTCTGTTATTAAATAGTGCCTAATCATTTTACATGACTTACTGTCTATGAATCCTGCTTCTGAGGACTAATAATGTATTTTTTGAGCTACAGTAATTTCAATACTGTTTTTCTCCAAAGTCTACTTCTCTGGTGTTCTGTTGTTAGCTGAGCCAGACATAGAAATTTGTACTCTTAGGAAACATACACAGAAAATATAGTTGACTGTAAAATGGCAGTGATGTTTAAGAGTTTACTTTTCAACATGATGGATGATAAGAATTCCCTTTTCTGCTGTCTCTGGGGTACAAGGCTATACATTATTTGTAGGGTTTCTTTCTCTTCCCTTATGACTGCTGAGTTTTTAATTTGTGTTTTTGTTTACTATGGCTTCATTATTTTCAGATTGATTTTGACAATACCAGTTGAAGAGGTGTGGTTAAAATAACATCACTGCAAGATGACTGAACTTATTAAATCACAAACTGGAAGTATTTTGGGAATTTATTTAAATGCTTATCTTTTCTTGACTTTCTACAGTCAAAAAAACCCATGAGTGTCTCTATACCTATGTCTTTCCATTACAGGCCAAGTTTCAAGGTAGTTTATGTATCCTACTTTCTTAAATGAAGGCTCTGACTGCTGCAATAATATTATTTGTACAAAAAAAGAAAGAAACACCATTAGGACGTGCACTTTTAGTAGCTATGAGGAAACATACAAGTTAGGGACAAAATGTCAGCTTGAGCCTTCGTTTAAAATTTCCTGGCTTCAGTCAGTTTGTGTCTCTTGGGTGAGCTTGTCTTTAATAGAGTACATCCAGTATTTAAGATCGGCTACAAGATTAAAGAAATTTTAAAGAGTAATGCTTAACCAATTATGTACTGTAATTTAATAGCATTATGTAAAGTGTGTAGATTGAAAGGGAGACTTCTGTACACAACCTGATGTCATATTCATTTAAAATAGGCAGTGTAGCTGATAGCTGACAATAACTGGCATATAGGGCTTCAGTGATGAAGCACAGTACTACCACAGATTAATAAGGACTTACTAGAGCTCATTTGCTTTTATATATTTCTATTCATTTTCACTTTAAGCTCGCAGACTTTTGACATAATTTACAGTTGAAAGCTGTAGTGTAGGACTCAATATCAGTGTAATTTAAGGCCCCTGGCTGTTAGTCAGGGCCTCCATATGGCATAATAAGAGGTTATCACAGTCATCTGTATAAACTGCAAATGTATTAGAAGTTTCTCAGTCATTTATTCCTTATGTCCAAGTCATGCATGCAGATCTGTTAGCTGTTGCCCTTTGTCTGTCATCTGAACTGTCAAGATAACCTGTCTGCAGAAATTTGATGAAACTTTACTTTCATTCAGTTGAAAACAATCACCTGAGCAGTAGACTTGGTAAGTTTCAACAATCAGAGAAGACCCAAAAAGTGTTGTAAATGAAAAGACTATTAAATAGTAGTTGTAGTAGGAAATAATCATAGTTCCCCTTTTTGCAGTGCTTTTCTGTAGACTGAAGATTTTTTAAATAAAGACAAGTTTTGAAATAGCCTTTTTAATGGATAAATGACAAAGGACTCAAGTAATTTTTACTGGCCATCTTGTATCATAGGCCCAGTATTACCTATTATGTTTATATATATTAAGGTTATACATTTGAATTTAAATATTTAGTTCTGATATCTAACCAATTACTAGTCCACAAACAGACTTCTATCTCTCAAGAGAGAGACAAAAATTGGCCATAAGTACTTTTCTGCTAATGTTTGGTTTTTATTTGTATAGTTTGAAAATTTAGCATCCATTAAGAGAAACCTTGCAAAATGTTATTTTACATTAGTGACCAACAACTTTCAGTGTCACTCGTCCTTTAAGTAAACAGCATAATAACTGATTTCTGTAGAAACTTTCTTGTCTTATAACCACATTATAATATCATGGTTCTTGTATTATAAAAGTGTGCTCCAAAACCATATGAAGTGATGAACATGGCAAATATCTATAAAAGTTGTTTAGTATTTAGAGACACATGCTCATCCTTAGTGTCACTATGAATATATAGACACTGTATATATCACTTAAGTTTAGTTATGGACTGCAGGGTTTTCAGAACTATGCCTATTCTGAATGCTTACCATTATTTGCCAAGAAAGTCACATGCACAGCTGAGAAAATACTGAAATGGGAATTTTCCCAAATTAAAAATTTATCTTGAAAAGTGCCCTTAGAAAAAATTTATGTAATCACCACAGAAATGCATTTGAGAGTAAAAACTACCAGGGGAGAAAAAAACCCTAGTTCAGAATTACAACACATTGTAAATAATTTTGTATATGTATTTCTATATATATTTCATGTATATATTCATTGGTACTGCAAAAATAAAATGCACAGTTTTTTAGCAATACTAACTACAACATAGAGCTCTTGCTTCACTAATTTTAGCATATTTTCATAAGACATCTGATTCTGATGACAATATTATGAAGAGTTCTCAGGACTCCTTTTTTATAGAATATTTTTACAAGAAAGAAGTAAAGATTCTTCTAAGGAAGAAGAACTCATCTAGACCATATAGGTGGCAATGGTAAGATTACGATTGATTTCACAGGGATTTGGACTTAGCCCAGAGTACACATGAAAG